CAGTATGCTATGTGAAAGAAGCCTGTCACAAAAAGTCACATAGTGGGGGCTGGGGATTTAGCTCAGCGGCACAGCACCTGCCTGGCAAGTGCAAGGTCGTGAGTTCGATTCCCAGTACTGGAAAAAAAAAAAAAGCCACATAGTATATAATTCCATTAAAAAGATGTGGACTGAAGATCCAGACCTGGACCGGCAGCCACTTGTAGCTGTCTTCCAGCCTTTGGGTTGAACAATACACACTCTGCGCTTAAAGTTTTCTTCCTTACACTAAAAAAAATAGATCACTATAAAAGGACATCCACATGATCGTGACATGCAGTATTTTAGAAGTCTGTACATCTTGGTTCATGCTTCACTGGGAGATATCTTAGTAGATTTAGAACAATGTTAAATGCCCGTTGGCTGATTGTGTCTGCAGTCTGTCACTTGTCTCAGAGTAGCCCTGTGATTATTGACTACACACCGACCAGTGATTGAGAGGAGTTTCCAAGGTGAATATTCTCAGGAAAGTCCTTTGGAGCTTGCAGGGGATCCCGAGGTGGGTGGCTCTGTTTGCATAGTCTCTCAGCCTCCCGTAGCCACCCTCTGTCTTGCCACAAACCCCACAAGAGCAGCCTGAACCACTTACAATGCCAATGGCCAGGTAAGTAGCAAAGAGGGCAAACCTACTGTCCTCTGACCTTGTATGGCAAATCATAGCAGCACTTAAGTCTCCAAACATGAAACTCCTGCTTCTGCTGGGAGTGGCTGGAGGTGCCTTGCAGTCACTTTGGTTTTGTATGAGGCCATGGGCCTGATCCTTCAGTCTTCTGTTGGGTGAGTTGTAAGAAGTTACAAATTGGAATTAGAGGGTCAGAAGCCTGTAGAAACTTTATTATTTTACTTCTCAACTGTGTCGCTTGGGTTTTTGTGAGCCTCAGAAGAGCTAAGAAATCATCTCAGGAAGTCATCAGGAAAAGTAGCAAAAGTTCACCTGCAAATGGTTACCCTAATAGCACCTTTTCCTTACAGGGTGCTTTGGAAGATTAAACAGTAATCCCCACAGAACATTAAACCCAATATTAAAATAGTGCGTTATAAATACCAGCTATCATTGATAACAGCACCATCTTTTGGGTGTAGCACAGTGAAAAGGAGACATTGCCATCAATGTCTAAATGCAGTGTTTCATAAGTCTTTGCCCATGTTCCAGTAGATTTTACAGTGGAACTGCGGTACTTGGATCTTTCATTTAGTAACTGTGTTGATACCCATTGTGTGTATGTTTGTTATTGTGGTTCTGAGGGTTGAATGCAGGGCTTTGCGTATGCCAGCCAAGTGCTGTACCACTGAGCTACATCCCTGGGCCCGGTGATGTGTAAACAGGTTGCCAACTGCAAAAGGACCCTAGGGAGGTGGTGTTTGCAGAGCAGTTCATACTGTCAGAAGTGTGGCTGTGACTGTACTCTGAACAGGCCGTATCTGACCTGTGTTTGATATCATCAGTGCTTTGAGCTGACTGCATATCTATTTTAATATAGACAGAAACAAATGTGATTTTCTTTCTTTTTTTTATTCAGGCCCACTTTTTTTTTTGGTACCGGGAATCAAACTCACAACCTTATGCTTTCCAGGCAGGTGCTGTGCTGCTGAGCTAAATCCCCAGCCTTTGAAGCCCAAATTTAAAACATACTTCAGTTGCCCTTTGTGCTCAACTCGCAGGTGTCCCCCCACACATATATACTCCAATTGCTGCTTATTATAAAGCATTTCTATATTGCTTTGTGAAAGTTCTCAAATTTTTCTAAAGATAATTATTTGAAAACAGTATCAGTTAAATACAGATTGTATTTTGATACGAAGCAGCTTAATGCTGTAGCAAGTTGATTTAGGTTAACATGGTGCACTAGTGGGGACGTTGAGTGTTCCCTGATACCTGTGTGTCAAAGGCTTGGTCCTGGGGCAGTGCTGTTGGGAGGTGCACTATGCCTTTTTTAGACGGGCCTTGTGAGAGGCGCTGAGGTCATTGGAGGACGACTCTGAAGGGGACCCCAGCCCCTGCTCTGTCTTTTGCTTCCTGGCCATGAAGCAGTAGGCTCTACCACATACTCCCCCTTTACCATGTAGTGCCCCCTCCAGAGGCCTAGGCTTGGGCTAGAACCCCCAAAATTATGAGCCAAAATGAACTTTATATCTTTAGAGTTAACTGTCTCAGTTTTCCATTATAGTGACAAAGCTGATGCGCTTGGTCTAGTGTGTTAGCTCTTGGTGTGGCCTGATGTGTTATTTAGGGAAGCATTACTACTGATTGCTTTTCTAAAACTTAGCACATCCATTATATTCTTACTTCAGTCTATTTGAAGAAAGGCTCGTATAAAACAAATATCCTGGCCGGGGATATAGCTCAGTGGCACAGCGCCTATCTAGCAAGCATGAGGTCATGAATTCGATCCCTGGTACCACAAAAAAAATATATATATCCCTTGTTCACCTTATTCATTTTTGTGGCTTATGTCAAGATGTACCCCCTAAATCTCATGCAGTCATAGCTGGGGCTTTTGGCTTTTGACTGAATCATGGGTGTGTGATACTGAATTCATCTGCTGATTGGTTTAATGTAGTTCTCAGTGTGGGTGATGGTTTTACTGAAAAAAGAAGACCCACACTGGGTGGGGATGGCACCGACCAACAGACGTACTAGCATGGATGAAATAAAAAGGGAAAGAAGAAAGAAGGCTTGCTGCATCCTGCCTGCCCTCCCATGGACTGTTTCTCTTCTGCCATGCACCTCTGCTATAATACCCTGCCTCGTAGACAGCCAACTATGTACTGAAACCTCTACAAACCGTGATCCAAAATAAATCTTTCCTCCTCTAAGTTCTGGCTGCCAGGTATTTTCGCTCAGCAATGAGGAAGTTGCTAAGACATTCATGATAGGTAGAAAACTAAGTTCATCATCATCACTTTTTACCTCTTGTTTTTCCTTTCATCATCCTCTAGGACACTGGAACTGGGAAGAACTTTGTTACCCAGTCTCTCACCACCACCCCCACATTTAGTAGAGGAGAGAACCAGGGCACTGGAGGTTAGGGAACTGGCTCGCAGTTATACCACCACTGGTGGCCGAGTCCTGGGACTCCCTTGTGTCACACCCCTCTCCCTGGCCTGTACTACTTCTCTTTCCTTTAATCCCCCCACAAAGATGTCACCAAGTCCTATTAAACCTTCCTTGAAACATCTCTTGGATTCCTCACTTCCCATTTCTTTGTGTCTGATGCAGTCCCCTCAGACCTCACAGTGGAAGAGGCCTGAAAAAAAACGGTCTCTGAGGCATCCATGAGACATTAACTTGCTGTAATCACTGCTGTCGGTGTGTCACTGCTCTTCTGCCAAGAGCTCCCTGCAGCAACACACGTCAACATCTCTCCTCCTGGACTAGTCTCCCATAGCTCACTTCTGCTTTCCATGTACTGGAGATGCCCATTCCTCTTTCCTTCTGGGAGCCTTAGGTGCCCAAGGCCTTCTGTAGCTTTCCCCCAGCAGCCCACCATGTTTTCTTAGGCCTTTGGGTTGCTCTGGTCCCCAGCTGCACATTCTCTCCCTGTCTTGCCAAATCTATTTTCTAGACTAAGTCCAGATCCCACAACCTTCTTGATGGTTTTCCTGATTACTCTAGTGATTAACCAATGTCCTCCTTTGTTCTCGGACTTGCACTTTACCATGTAGCTGTGGACACATGAGCCTCTTTTTCATGGTTTTCTGGTTTTTCCTTTGGATTGCATTATCGTCTCAATGATTGATAGACAGGCAGACAGACAGTAGATAGACAAACAGGTTTGTTTGTTTTTGCCATGCTGGGATCAAACCCTCATCCTAAGCAACCAGGTATACAGTGTTTAATGCTCTTTAAAGGTAGTGCTTATGTTTACATTTTCTCATCTATTCCATCTTTAATCATGCCTTGTAAGTGGTCAGTAATTACTCTTTACTTCTTAGAAGCTTACTGAGCTTTAAAAGATGCCATCCAGAACTACAAGCAGCACAGACATTTTAAGCATTGCAGGTTGGGTTAGGCTGAGGTGGCAGGATCTCTGAACAGCGTGTCCCTGCCCTCCAGATGCAGAGGGTATCCGAGGCTGTGGAGCTGGTGCTTCCAAAGGGCCCACCTGAGTGATGCAGACTTGTGTGTGGACTGTGGCTGGTGGCCAGTTTCCTCCTGAGTACGCATGCCTGGCTCTCGGCTGTTCCTGCAGGTGGTGATCACTTCAGATCACGTGAGAAGCACAGCCTCCTCATTCTCCTCTGTACCCTAGGGCAGGGTGGGAAAGGGCCAGGCCTCTCCCTCAGTTCACCCTGGAGCCAGTAGTGACCCTGCATCTCTCCTTTCTGCAATACCGGCGGAGCGTCCTAAGTTCAATCTGATCTGGTGTAAAGTATTTTTTAGAATTCTGTAGTTACTTTATCTTCCCCCAAAAGTGAGAGTATCTAATACATTCTCAGCCTTGGAAAAGGGAATGTATATTGTGTAAAGAAGATTCACCTCCTTTCTGAAGTTCTGATGCCCCTTTCCGGCCTCCCTTCCTTCCCTAGACTCGTTTCCAAGCTGAGGCCCCTGGGGATGTTAGTACTTTGGACTGTGCTCTCCCCAGGGCACAACCCCTACGAGAAGTGCCTCTGCCAAAGGCTAATAAACTCGGAATTATTTTTTCTTTAATGTCAGCAGGACTAATTCCACCCCTACAAAGCGGTTTGGCCTTTCTCCCTCATTGGCACCAAAGAGAATTGGCAGAGACTCAGCTGAAGGTGGGGCTGACAGGCGCTGGCGGGGAACCGAGTCTAGTGCCTCTGGGCTTTTATGCCCACATTCATCTCCCATTCTGCTCTGTTCGCTTCCCACCAGGGATGCTGCCAGACCCTCCCTGAGACCCCACTTTCCAGCACACACCCCGAAACGCCACTCTCTTTCATGTACAGAAGGTAGCACAGCCAAAGTCACTGCTAACATTTTACGATCTTTTTAGGTGGATGGAAGTCTGCTTAGTTGAAGAATTGCCACCAACCACTGAACTGGAGGAAGGGCTCCGGAACGGAGTTTACCTTGCGAAGCTAGCCAAGTTCTTTGCCCCGAAAATGGTATCAGAGAAAAAGATCTATGATGTGGAACAAACACGCTATAAGGTAACCAAGATCTAATTGGTTCTGGCTTCCAGCAAAAAGTAAAAATTTGAAATTTCATTTCCTTCCCCTATTTAAACTCCTGCTGTTTCTATAGGAATTAGAGGGGGTGAGGGTGCTTTGGAGCCTGTAAGTAATCATTCCTGAGGTAGCACCAGTTTTCTAAGAGCAAAGTATTGCTATTTGCAGGCAGAGGCTAAGTGACCTCTGATGTTTGGGGCCTCCCGATGGCCACCCCCCATTATTTCTTCAAGAAGGTCATTTGTGACTTTCTAAGTGCCAGTCAATGTAGAAGTGGGGCCCACTATACCTCCTTTTCTCACCACCAACACATTCATTACTCCCAAAGTTCTTATCAAGGAATAAAATACCCAGCATGGGCTTGAACTTGTGGCCCTGAGTAATTAGGGCCAATCTGATCAAATGAGTAGTAATGTCGAGTAAGAATTCTTTCCCACTTAGTGTTTAAAATAAAATAAAGCTAACTTTTTTGTGTGCTACTAGTCTTAAGACTTGTTTCGTGACTAATTTGCGATCAGAAGACAAAGAGTTGCCGTAGCCCCTTTGGAAAAAACAGCAGCAAAAACAACAATAACAACAAACCTCACCATTATTTAAATTGGGAAGGATCTGGGGGAAAAAGCGGAATCATTATAAATGCCAATTTCATATTAGCTTAAAAATCCTGATCTTTTAGGGATACACATTGAAGTATTTACAAATGAAATATTTTACTTCATTATAATTGGAGCGAGGTCAAATAGATGGCTCAGAACTGGCCATGAACTCATAACTACCAAAGTTGGATGATAGCTATGTAGTTTTTTATACATGCTACCTCCTTATTATTGTTTGAAATTTTTTCACTAAAAACTGAAACAAGAAAATATAAATACCAACTTAGAAGGCTTCTGCATTAGAGATACATTTTAAAAATGGAATTCAAAATGTTTAGTGTTCTGTTCTAGAATATTTTGCCTCTTTCTGCTATAGGTCAAGAATTGTAAAGCTCTTTTGAAACTTGATATTTTATTCTTTTCATGTATTTACTTTGTTTTGTGGTGTTGCGAATGGAAACCAGGGTCTCCCATTTGGGAGCCTGAGCTATACCTACGGCTCACATTTAGTTCCTTACATTCACATTTTTCAGGTATCCTTAAAAATTATTTCTCTTACCATTCACATTATTTACTTTATAACTGCATGGATGGGGCTGAGGATAGTTGAGCATGGAATAAATGGGAAATATATTTTAGGCCATATATTTTAAAATTTATATATGAAATCAGATCAAATGTTCAAATAATCATTCAGGGTCACAGTAGACAAGATCACTTGACAGATCTCCTTTGAGTCTGCCTTCATCATCTAGACCAAAGGTCCCCTAGCTTTTGCCATCAGGGACTGGTTTCACGGAAGGCAGTTTTTGTAGATGGGGGATGTTGCACCCTCTCTCCTCTCTCTACGTCTCCTTTTCTCTCTCTTCTATCTGTATACGTTTGTGACACATAATAATTACATTCCCCAGTGCTACCCTCGTTGCCTCAGCTCTACCATCCGTCATCAGGCATGAGGTTGTCATAAGGAACATGCACCCTAGATCCTTCAGGTGCACCATTCACTGTGGGGTTTGTACTTCTCTGACAATCTAATGTCACTGCAGATCTGACTGGAGGTGGAGCTCAGGTTCCCAACAGACAGATACTGGTCAGTAGCCCGGGAGTTAGAGACCCTTGGTCTAGATACACAAGTAATGAGCCTAATTCTGTGACTTGGCCAATGCCAAGAATAAGTATTTGCGTTTGATAAAGGAAGTTTGAGCTCATGAAGACATGTGTCTCACCCCACAGATTCATCTTCTATGGCTTTTCACAAGGCTTTAACAAAACAATGACCTAACTAGCCAAAATTAAAGTTTTAAAATAACTTTTTGAGAAATATTTCTAGAAATCCACAGATGCACAGAAAAAAAGACCTCTAACACCCCCTACACACACATACATACACACATACACACACATACACACACACACACACATACACACACACACACACACACACACACACGTCCACATTTTAGATTCTGGCTTTTCTTGTTTTCATTGTTCTCATAAGGGTAACTATCGAGAGCTAGGTCTGTTAGTGCTAACATCCATGTGGGTTTGATCGAGGAGTGTTGCCAAGCCATGCACCAGCTGTCCTCGAGAGGAAAGCGGTGGAGGTTTTCCTTTGGCTTTGTGGACAGTGCACATCAGGTGGGAGGAGAGAGCCTCTATGCACAGTGTGGCTGTCTCCTTCCAGGTGCTGGACCTGCCTGGCAGTTAGTTACCCCAAGGAAATTTAAGACAGGTTCCTTCTCTACCTGACATCAGACATCCTGCTACTTAAATGCAAATCAACTTCTCTTTGGGATGGGGACAGGGGAAATGATGTTCCCAGTCCCTTGTTATGAAACAAAATCTCTGCAGTTCAGTGAAATTTGTGAGCAAAATGTCATGAAAGGGGGAAGTGCTGGGCAGCTGGCTTTGCAGAATGATGCTGGGTGGGGTGGGGGTGCGGGGAAGGAAGCAGCAGCAGGAGGAGAGGGAGGTATTGCCAGCTGTGGCGTGGGAGCCCTCCTGCTGCCGAGCTACAGAAAAACACAGGGCAAATGGAGATTGCCCTTTTGTGAATGCACTAGAGAACAGACCTTTTTCTTTTTTCTTATCAAGTCCCTGAAAGTGCTTCGTGTTCAAGAAAGAAATTTGTAGTTAATCCTAAAATATAGGGCTTTTTTATTTTTTATGCAAAAATGAAGAGAGACATATCTTTGTGAACAGGTGTCTCAGCTTCCTGCTTTTACGTTCCTCGGACTAGGGTCATCATGTGGGCTTCCCAAGGAACACTGAATCACGAGACCGAGGCCAAGATGCTGCAGAAGGAGGACACACATGCCAACCCCAGCCTAGCCCCGTGGTGCGATCTCTAGGGACCGTGAGCTCAGCAATGTAGGCTCTCACTGCAGAGGCTGCCTAGGCTGTGCCATAAACTGCAACCTCATGGTGGCCGAGGTGTCCCCAGGACAAGGCTGTGTGCCTGAGTCGGGAGAGGCGAAGCGCTGGCCTTGGCAGACGGCACATGCTCGCTGCCCCTCCTCCTCCTCGTCTGCTGGCCACATGGAGTCCCACCTCGTATTACCTCTGGATGAGAGCGACGTCTTGGGTGTTCAGGTTAAGCCTTCCAGTTATGAGTGTTCCCTCCACAGCCTCCTCTGCCCTCTACCTCAGTGACAGTTGCTACATGAGTGCGGTGACACCTGTCGCTGTGTCCTGTGGACACCAGAGTGTATTGTGGAGAGAGTCTTGCCCTGGTCCCGCAAGCTCCTCCTCTGCTCTGTCCTCGCTGCGTGCTGCAGGGCTCCATCTGCCACAAGTGAGGAGTGAATGGCAGTAATTTCCAGTGAGCCAGAAGCTGGATTCCTTTCCTGTCCCCTGTGCTATGTTCACTACACATTCAGGGTGCTCAGAGTCTGGTGCTGTTCCTCTCAGAACGGTGCTCAGACCTCCCGCAGGACCACCTGATGGGTGTGCGCAGGAACCGGACACCTGGCCCGCGCCCGACTGCCGAGTCAGCCACGGTCACTTGGCCTCTGACGCACGAGGCAGAACTCTTACTTTTCAGCTGGAGGAGAGTCCTGTGTACTACAAAGGCTTGAGAACCATTGCTCTGATAGACAGAGGCACATTAATGTAATTGTTACGCTTTAGATCTGAGATGTCCCCCAAAGGTCTTCTGGTGGCAAGAGGCAGGTCACTGGGTGCCGACCTGGAAGGGCGCATTAGTGTCCTGGGCTCCTACCGTCTGCCTCTGCTTCTTGGCAGCCGTGAGGTGAGCGCCTTCTCCCACCAGGCCCCTCTGCTGTGCTGCGCCTGCCTTGGAGCCTACCAACCGCTGCCTGAGAACATGAGCCAGAATAAACCTCTCTTCTTAGTTGTGGGTGTTGAGTATTTTGTCCCAGTGACTGGCAAGCTAATAAATAATAAATTCTAATGAGGTTATAGGGGGAAAAGATAACGTGTGCCAAGATAGAAATACATACAGACTGAACACCCTTAATTTGAAAACCCTAAATCCGAAATGTTCTGAAATCTGAATTTTTTTTTTTTTTTTTTGTCTTTTTGAGACAGGGTCTCACTATGCAGTTCAGGCTGGCCTCGAACTCAGCAGGGATCCTCCTGCCTCAGCCTCCCAAGTTACAGGTGTGCACCACCATGCCTGGCCTTGAGGTCTGAAATTTTGAGAGCCAGCAGTGTTCAAAAGGAGTAAGATTTTGGAGCATTTTAGATTTCAGACTTTTTGGATTAGTGATGCTCAACCAGTGAAATGTGTGCAAATATTTCAAAATCCAAAAGCTTGGAAACTGGTCTGCATGTTGGATAAAGGATAGTCAGCCTGTACGTGGTAGGATTCACTGACCCAGACAACGCTATGAATACCTGTGCCAGACACCCCTACAGGTGCTAACAGCGAAGGTGCCTAAGTTATGGCTCTGCCGGCTGGAGAGGCGGACTGTGCAGTGAGAAATGAACTACGACCAGTGCCTGCAGGAGGGACGAAAGCCGTGTTTGGGGACAGCGAGGGGCCGAGGCTGAGAGCTGCTGTGACGGAGGCTTCCTCTGTGGCTGGAAGAGTGAGAAGGAGCTGCCCCTGCACAGCCAGGCCGGGGAATGGGAGGAACTCAGTGACAGACTCTGTGAAGCAGAGAGCTTGACTGCGACTGCGGGGCTGAGCGACTGCAGCGAGGGCCAGCGTGGGAGACAAGGCCGGCAGGGAAGCGGAGGCGGTGCCCCCCCTTGGGGGATGCGCGATGTCACCTGAAGCGTGGGGAAGCCGCTGAGACTTTGGCCACAGCATCACACTGCAGCGTGTGTGCCCAAGAGAGCACTGCTGCTCTGTGGGTGGTGATGGCGCTCAGGGAGGGGCGGGGCCGGGATGACAGGCAGCGGTGGCTGCACAGATGTGCT